ACATCTCGGGCGAGAAGACAGTCACCGCCCTGTTGGAGGTCTTGGAAGCAGAGCCGATACGGAAGGAGTCATTGACACGACCAATCAACCTAACAGTAGGTAAAGCATATTTTACATTCAACGGCAATATCTATGGACAAATATTTGGACTACCGATGGGATCTCCACTCTCACCTCTTTTTCAAATGTTGCATACATGAAGATATTTGAGAAGGAATTCGAGATGTCATCGTTTCAACCAAGAGGGCTTATGCGATTACTGGACGACTACTATGCACTTTGGTCGCGTGGTAAGGAAAATTTGGATGAATTCCCCAATATTATAAACCAACTTGATCGAAGAATTAAATTCACTATGGACGTGGAGGAGGATATTGAAGTTATTCGCTCCAACGGAATACTCAAGAGGAGACTATTCAGAAAGAAAACATATGCGGGCAAAATAGGAATAATGAGGAGTATGATCATCAGAAGTGTAAGACTAACGGAAATTAAGTATATTGCAAAGCGAAGGTAAGGAGATTGGGCAAAAAGAACTCATTAATGCAGAATCCTTAATGTGTCCATATTAAAAGCAGTGTCATGGAACCTTGGAGTCTTCAGGTTTGTCCAGGTCCTCCTGTTGCGTGGGACTCTCGCCCAGCGACTCGTGCAGCCGCTTGCTCAGTGATTCTTGGACCGAGCACTGGCTTGACCTCGTTTCTGGCTTCGAATCCCAGTCGGTCTGGCTGGATGGCACATTGGCCGCGAGACAGGCCTCCGAGATGAGCTGTTCCGGAGTGAGGAAGCCAATGGGTGGGGTTTCGGTGTTTAACCGTTCGACAGCCTCAACTGCGTCAGTTAAGTCAAGGTTGTCAGGCGCAGGTTGATCAGGCGATTCGAGGCCGTCTTCGCCGGCTTCGATTACGGGCTCATCAGTGATCGTGGCGGGATCGACAAAGCCGGTGATGATGTGAGTGCAACGCGACAGGCACCAGGCGAGACGGCTGATGCGGTTCAGTCGGGCCGTGCCCTCCGGCAGACGCAACAGCAACTCCTGTATCAAGGAAAGATTGAGCATAGCATACTTCAAGATTGACCAGAAATGAAACAGAGCAAACCTTGCACCTTTCTTGTACCCGCTTTCGTGATAGTATTGAAAAAGAGAAACCGGAAATATGAAGAAAAAGTGGATTTTAAGAAATTCCTTAGTGACTTTGTTTGGAAGAATGTGGTGAAATGGTCTTGCCTGAAACTGAAGGAGAATTGCCGCGGAGTGAAAACTATTGGATTATGCTAAGAAGTTGTCAACTCATCGTCCAGTGATTCCGATGAAGTTGTACTAAGCTTTCGTCTGTATCGTCGTGATAGCCAACATCAGAATCGAGTAATCGAGTAAAACTATACCAAACCATGAGAACAGGTAACCAGTTGCAACCCTAGTCACTTTTGAATGCGCCTAACCCTGTAATCTTACTGAGCATCCCAGTATTTGGTTGGCTAAATGATGGTATGCCTCATAAAGATCGCAGGGTTAGGTAAATAAAAAAGTGATTATAGGGTTGCAGTCGACCATCTTTTCTCTTGGTTTAGTATATTTTTTGTGCTATTTCGTAAAATATGGATTCTTGCTCTGATGACGTCTGTCGCAGGACATGCGCGAGCTTGGTTCAGGTAAATCAGGGTCGCAGGACAGTGAGCCGAGGGCTTCCTTGCACAATCCAATAGTCTTCACTCCATAGCAATCTTCCTTCGGTTTCCGGTGCGACCATTTTACGAATTGTTTCCAACCAAATTTTTCTTCGAAATGAAAAGTCATGCCATAAAATAAGCAGGTGGCCTAGAGGGAGTGACAAATTCACAAATCAAAACTTTGATTTTCATACTTTAAGCTAGTACATTCCCAAAATCATAAGCATTTTCTCCCCAAATGAGAAGGGTATCGCAGACAATTTCACATGGAGACTATTGCAAAACATAGATGGTTTACTTTCCATTCCTTAGCTCAGTCTGTGTTACGTGCAAAGTGAAGTGGTCTTTGTGTAAATGTAAACCAAGTGTAGGTGGGTTTCTATGAATCTCTAAGGCAAAGGTATAGCGTATAATTTTCGAAGGTGGGCCTCACCAGAAGTGAAAAAAGAGCAATCGTTCCATTGAAAATAGGATGAACCTACGCCAGACCATCGTTGTTATGTGAGTTGTGTTCACTCTATTTCGTTTAAGGCAATGAAAGACCGGCAGTTCAATTTTCCCACAATGATATGAGTATACCTTACGTTTCCAGTGAATTTCACATGGCCTTGCTTTCCAAAAAGGTCTTGCCAACACCTCCAGTGTGACTCAAATCACGACAGTTGAGCAGGTAATCTCGACACTTTCACCGCTACGCCACAGTGCCACGAGTCCCCTTTGGTCACAGGTCAGATGTGTATTTTAAGGAAGATCATGCATTTCCCCATATCACATTCTTTGGTGGGATTGTCGTTGAAGCAAAGTTATATTTGCTATAGCAACCGACGACATGACTTATATTTCGTTTTGAGTAGGCTTTCGAGACTACCATTAAATGAGATATATGAGTTGTGTTTACGTAATTCCATTTAAGGTGATGTACGAGTGAGTTAGTGGTAGTTTCGAAAATCCACTCCAAACGAAATACAAGGTTTTTCGTTATTGAGCAGGTTTCCGAGTTATTAGTGTTGAGCCTACTTCGATTTGGAATGAAATTGTGATGAAA